GACGTTTTGGTGCATGTTGTCTGCATTTTCCTCTCTTTCAGGTTTTCGCTCTCTCCACGGAGAACCTCCCGTCTATCGACGGTTTCAGCCCGCACCTAGACTCGGCCCACTTGCGGTTGTCTGGTGTATTCGTTCATGGGGAACCTCCTGCTGCACACACTAGCCAAGCATCTCAGTGTGTAGTGTGAAATCGAAACTGACTGACGTCCAGCAGGACAAGTTGCGTGACGCCTGTAACCGTGATAGAAGACACAGTACGACGACCAAAACAGTACCGACACGTAACACTACCATTCTGTGTTGTAACCATTTCATATTCCTATAATCAATGTAACTTCATCCGAACCCTTCGAGTCTTCCCTCTGGTTGGAACGTATTACAAAGTGGCGACTGTGCCGTGCCGAAAACTCAAGCAAAATCCCCTGACGTTTCCGAACTACCACAGAAGAGCGAGGCCGATATACCTTCGGATGTAATGCCCCCACTAATTAGCATTCTGGACCGCTTGTCTACGAATAGTCGGTTTTCAAAACCTTTTCCTCCCATCCCAACCCCGGGGAAGTTTGCACTCAGCAACAATCACAAACTTCGGGAGAGACAAACACAAGTCTACCTCCGAAATTTCTCACATGATAAACATGCCGACCCGGTGTATATCCTCCTCACAGGCGAGGCATTCGACATTGTCTCCGAATCTCGAACCTTAGATAATGAGGTAACGGACGACACATTCAAGCGGCTCCGACAACTCTTAGACACGCCAAAACTAACGATCGAGTACCATCGGGAACTTTACTCTCGCACGTCCGTCCGAGCGCTGCGACATTTAGCGGAGCATGCATTCCCAAACCAGTCTAGCCCTGAACGCGATCGCCTAATCCTAGAACAGCTCATTGAGGGCACATCATCCACCAGTTCCCCAAAAGAATTCCACCTGCAACACAGGAATTACACGAAGCTGTCGAAAGGGTGGAGCTTTTGGAGAGACGCGACGCAGCAATAGCCCGCCAAAGGAGAGCACAGTCCCCTCACACTTCTCATTCCTTCTATGTGGGTACCCCTCGATACACGCCACCGCAAAGTAGAGCAAACTTTCGCCGAGCCGGGCGTTGGACTTGGCGAGGTCGAGGTGGCCAACGAGGGACGCGGAGAGGACTCAGAGGAGGTAAGTTCCCACCAAATCTCACCCCACTCTAATCCACTTCTCCCTACACACCATCCCTCACCGCACCACTGACATTCCAGAACAGAACGATATCCGGGTTGATAGATACCGGGTCTTCCCACAGCCTGATCCGGGCAGATATCGCCCAAGACATAACGGGTTGAGTAAGGCACAGCACCCGCGACCGCTTAATAGCCTTTAACGGTTCGGCAATGAAGATGGAAGGAGCATTAATTGCCACGTTAAGCCTATGAACACACCCATTAAGGCACAAGTTTATAATCTCCCCAGAAATCCCATTTGAGTGCATAATCGGACTAGACCTCCTGAAGTCGGCGAAAGGTCAAATAGACACCTCAACCGCCACCTTAAAAACGCCACACGACACGATACATCTGCGAGAAGACAGAATCCTAACATTACAGGTAAACCTGTCGATGCCAACACAAAATACTGCCCCTTCTGTCCGGCAGAAAATTTGTCTCTTATCAAGAAAAATGCTCCAGAAGTGGGGCCCAAATATGCCAAGGAACTCCAGCGTGTGATTGAGCAGTACGCTAACGCATTCGCTTGGAGTGGCACGCAGTTAGGGAAGACAGGCCTAGTAAAACTCCGAATCGACACATGAAACGCCCCACCTATAAAGATTCCTCCTAGACGCATACCGGCAATCTGAATGAAGGAGTTATCCAACACCATACGGCAATGGGGGAATGCAACGTCATCTAACCTTCTACTTCCCCTTGGTCTGCACCAATGGTGCTGGTACGAAAGAAAGACGGCGGCCTCCGCTTGTGCGTCAAGTACAGACAGCTGAATAAAGTGACCAACAAGGATGGGTCGACGACCTGTTCGACGCGCTGATTAACGCGAAATACTTCAGTACTCTGGACTTAACATCAATATACTGGCAAGTGGAAGTAGATGAAAAAGACCGCTCCAAAATAACCTTTCCCAGACCTTCGGGGCTCTACGAATTACAGACGATGCCGTTCGGGTTAGTGTACGCACCGGGTACGTTTCAATGATTTGGAGGGCCTGATCCCAAACCAATACCTCGTTTATCTGGACGATATAATCGTTCACGGAACCACGGAAAAGAACCACTTTGATAATCTAAAAGCAGTCATCGACAGACTGAAAAAAACTGGCCTCCGCCTGAAACCGGAAAAATGTCACTTTATGCTGTCTCAGGTTGCATACCTTGGGCAGAACCTCGGCAGCAGGAATTCACACAGATCTAACAAAAGTCAAACAAGTGCAATCCTGGCTTACACCACGGAGTTTGGAAGAAGTCAGAAGCCTTCTAGGCCTGGCATCTTACTACAGACGATTCATTGCTAACTTCGCTCAAATTGCGTCACCCCTACACTCCATGTTGAAAAAGAACAAACCATTCAGATGGGACTCCGAATGCGAAAAGTCATTTCAAACACTGAGAAAACTTCCTTGTTCGGTGCCCATTTCGATCCATCACGACGAGACTGCACCTTGGCGTGGTGTGATGGCTTGCGTGCCTCAAAGACCCTGCGGGCTATTCAGGATGGTTCCTCAGCTGCAGATCCAATCATGCTTGAAAGGTTAACTGGTAGAGGCCAGACGAAGCTCAGTCTCACAAAGCCAGCTGCTTGGGCACCTGTTTTCCTTCTTCTATTCACACTTGCCCATGGAAAGGCCACTCCAGTAAACAAACACGATGAGGGGCAGTTTATCGGTAAAAAATCCCCGCTAGAGGGACGTAGGAGCGGGGTAACTGGGACTTCCTCCTCGCACTTCATTGGACAGCTACCGCCCGCCCAAGCTGGGCAGCCCCC